TACTAACAAACTATACATTTTAAATGATGGAATGTTTTCGTGTCATATACACTTTAAATGGTGACTCATTTTCTAACTAATGTTTATTAGTTTGCCAGTAGAAAACATAATTGCTCGAATTCGAAACGGCCTTTTTGATTCAATTCCATAATTTACTTTGAAATTCTTCAATCAATGTTGTCTTTAATTGTTTTATGAAATGAAAAGCAAGTCTATTGATAGTGCTATAATAGCTAGTCATGTTAAAAAGGCCAATGAAAAGACATACAGTATTAATAAATGTGTGTTTATAACATTGTTTGTCAGTCTTGTCTTTCTTGTTGATTAGATTTGAACTCAAACACGACCGAAGTCGTTCACTCGTCCCACAAAACATTACGAGAGAATTCTTTTCCTATTCAAGCAGTGAGCGCCAAAAACTATTTTCTTGAAGAAAGGCTGTTGTACAAGGCTAAATTCTTGTTATTCAGAAAGTTTAACTTGTTTGGAAGTGGAGATGACCTATGAAAGTGGAATCAAAGTGTTAACCCAAAGCAAAAATTTTATTCGAAAATGAGGTTTAGGCCTTCATTTGCTTATTTCCCATACATTTTCTATAAAAAAAGCCTGACAAAACTATATTTTAACTCAAATGCAACTAAACATCTTTGTACAATCGAAAATACCGCTTCAAACAAGCATTTTATCATAGTACATCAGTTTCTAACTGTTATGAAAAGGTTTCGAGTGTTAACCCAAAACGAAAATTGGGATCAAAACTCATACGAAAGTCTAGTTTTTGGCGCTTTTTGCCATTATTGCTCATTATTGAAAAATTTTTTGCTCTTAACACTTTCTCTACTTGCAGCTTTTTCAAAAGTGTTTCGTTCAAAAGTTTAAAAAAATCATGATCACTTGTTGACACAGGTCGTTTTACGTTGATCTCCAAATTAGAAAGTCATTGGTCTTAATTCTATTATAGGGTTTTTTGTTTGTTTAATTCCTGCTGATAGTTTGACACTGATTATTGATTGTCTTCCAACAGATGTTTATCTTTTTTGTCCTCAGAACAAAATGGTTGAGGAGAGCTTAACTGAAGATAACATGGCATCTTACAATTGTCACTCGGCACCCCGTTAGCTCAGTAATGTACTCTGCACGAAATACAAAAAATCCTTTTGTATTCAGCTTTTATTCAAAATATCCAAGGTAGTGACTGAAGCCCCGTCCACCGACGTAGAGATATTCATTTTGAATTATTTTTTTTATTTGCGCAACTTTTCGAAAACGGATACGCGGGGAAAACGATTCGCATTGGAGGAGGATTTTTTTGGAAAAAAATAAATAAATAGAATTAGAATAAGAATTGTTTTGAATTAGATGAAAAATTCCGTTTTCAAAAAAATCCAGATAACAAGTTTTAAAGTGACTCAAGTCCTAACCAGGAATTAGTGAGCTACAAGTTTCTAAATCTGCCTTAAACGTTTACGTCCGGTTGTACGAAGGTGGGATCAGCGCTATCCGACGAATAAGTCTTATTTATCTTCTAGATTTATTGGATAAGAGCATCATCCTATCCACTGGATAATGATTTATCCAGCGGATAGCGCTATCCACCCTGGCGTACAATGCAAGCAGGCATGCACAGGGCCCGGTTCATTGTGTACTATGGGTGGATAGCGCTATCCAATGGATAAATCATTATCCAGTGAATAAGTCGATGCTGTTATCCAATAAATCTAGAAGATAAATCAGATTTATTCGTCCCTTCAGAGATATTCGATCGATTTCGAGTTGAAAAAAATTGAGATTTATGCTACCGAAAGAAAAATCAGTTTGTTACTTACTGTGTAACTAGCATAAAATACAGTTTGTCGAAATAAAGGATTGGTCATTGATTAGCGTGCGGGAGGCTGCTAAGCTCGAAGGAAGCGTAAGGGTCGCACGATGCATAGCTTCTTGTGATAGTCAGAGTACCCCCTCCCCCTTAGAAATATCTCGCGGTTTGTAACCAAGTTCCCGGATGTGCGAGTTTTTCGGTGCGTTTGCAAGAGTTCGTTAGAGCACTCCTTTTCACCTCTTAGTTCTTGTGATAGTTGTGCGTTTTTACGCGATAAAGAATTGGTTAGCTGCCTGACTGAGGCTCAAAGGATCAGAACATTTCTTTTTTTCATTAAACAAACATGACGAAAGAATATACCCTGCGAGCAGTAGTTATCTTTCTTATTACCAGTCTGTAGGATTGAGCGTAAGACTGGGAAGCAGAAATTAAGAGACCCCCACAAGCAGGGTACTTTGCTCAGTTCAGAAATATGCCAAAGTGCGAATAATTTAAGGCGCGGACATACGGTGCAACATTGCGCGCAACATTGCAGGCAATGTTGCTGAAGTAGGAGAGTTTTCTACTTCAGCAACGTTGCGTGCAACAAATTGCGTCGTGTGTCATGGCTTGCAACATCAATAAGCCTGAAGCGAGATGACGTTTTACCCACGTCTCTAGACCATAATCCTTTTCACATTGTTTCTGTTCTTTAATTATGACTACTGTCCTGTATTCTCTAAGGAATCAAAAATTTTAATATGAAAGAAATTTAAAAACTATTATGGTTTAGAGTCGGGGGTAAAACGTCTTCTCGCTTCAGGCTTATTGCACTATGCAACGTACACATTGCGCGCAATGTTGCACCGTGTGTCCGTAGCTTAACACGACCTTCTCGTACGATTTGTAATACGACGTTTGAACGATGGCGTCATTTGACTCCCACTACCAAGATACTTCGCGAATTTTCTTTCTCATTTAAATTTGTATTCCCTCATGATGATAGTAAGACAATTGGTGCTAATTAACTGAACAAAGGAAATGTAGATAAGTTATAGTGATTAGGAACGAGGTTATTCCTAGCGAGGTCGGAAATTAATTTTTCCGAATTTAATTCCAAGGGCTTTCGCCCGGAATAACCTCGTTCCTAAGCACTATAACTTATTTATATTTCTATATCTTCATGTATTTCATAAGTGCTATGCGGTCAACATATTCTCATCTGAACAAAGGAAAGTGTGCAACGGAAATCTGGTAGTAGAGGTCAATGACGCCAACGTTCAAACGTCCTAAAATATGTACTTGGAGAGGTACTTGAAAGTTCTTTCACTCGCCTACGCCTAACTTTCACACTGTTGCAGGGACGGAAGTGGAAGTAAAATCATGCAACCATATCTGCTGTCTCATGATAGTCTCACGGCAAAAACTCGGAATTACTTCGGAAACGTGTCGTAAATCACGACTTTCGGTTCTGAGTCACGACGAAGGAATCCTATTTGGTCAGCGGAGTAGTGTTCTACGCATGCGCGATAGGGGTATAGGTGATGACGAAACAAGGGTCAGCCTTTCAAATCGTGATTCTCACACGCCAGACTCTTGACTGGAAAAAACTGCTCTAAAATCACACAAATTTACCCCAAAAAACCCTAAAAACCAACCAAGTAAGTACAGTAGGGTCTATTTAATGTGTGGGATTTTTATTATTGATTATTTAGTTGTTTTTAGTGTAATTTTGAGGACAGTTTTACAGTGTTACACTTGCATAAATCAGCCGTCGTTTCTAGTAACCAGATCAACTACCGGCTTTTTAAAAATTCTACTCATTTTTTCTCAGAATGTTCGTTATTCTTTGTATCGTATGCCCTATTTATTTCATGATGAACCTTTCAAAGTATTGTAGGAACTTCCCCTTTTTAAAAAGTTGATTTTATTGCGATGAAAGATGATCACATAACGTGACATGTTACTTTTAGATAGTCTTTACTAAGTCGTTGTTTCTTTGTGATAAAATGAGTTGTGTAAAATAAGAATAAGTCTAGTATTCAACACAGAAGTGCCAATGAATAGTTCTTTGATGTTCTGTCTATGTTGAAGCTCTCAGTTTTGTTTAAAATTTTTATTTCCGCGTTCAAACGATCTCACATTTTTTKAATACGATAATCTGTTATGCAATATTGGGACATAATTTTTATTGACGTGTGTGCTAATAACTATTTAAATTTTATTCTTCCACATTGTGACTCTTTCAACATCTTTAGTGCCAGAGGTTACTTTTAAAGATCTCTTGTACCAGCTGTTGTTCAACTGAAATAACTTTTGGAATCAACCTTGAATGAAATTATCTATTAGTCCTCATGTAATTTAGACTATTGTATGACATCAAAATTATTTAAGAGAAGTCTTAAATATCTATTGTTTTACGCAGAAAATGCATTCTGTCGTAAGCTATAGAGACTCAATAATTTCTCCCTCCATTATTTTGATTAATGATAACAATCAAGTCTGGTCTTGCATTGTCTTGTATCTGCATTTCATTTTATGGTCAGGGGTTCTTATTGATTTTTTATCAAGATTTTAACAGTAACATGACAAATGAAATACATTCCTTTGACTAAACATTGTCATTGATTGGATCATCCCTTCATGATCGTTATCGGTCTGGGCGCGTAGAGACGAAGCCAATCAAAGGATAATGTTTAGTCAAAGGACTGTATGTTCTCTGTACTATGATATAAACATGTCAAGAGCTATAGATCATGGGAGAAGCATATGAACACAAAGTATAGACAAGTATTTCTCTTGCTTCCTGATTGCTGACCAGCTAATCATTTCTATACACTCAAAGTCTTCTGATTGGATTTCTATTGTATTTTTATTTAAGCAATGGGAGATGCAACCAAAGGAGCCAAGATCTTTAAACAAAAGTGTTCACAGTGTCACACAGTAGATAAGGTAATCTTACATTAATGTTATTTAACAATTATTCGCTGAAGGCGAAGTGACTATTGGGAAATATTTACTGAGATGCGAGTCTTCCTGCGGCGAGGTAAATATTCCCCAATAGTCACTGTGCCTGAAGTAAATAATTGTTTAACTATAAATACACATGTGATTTTTTCATAAAAAGGAAAAAAAGAAAATAAAAGGCATTTTTTCCCGGTAACAGCAACAAAGCTGCTGGCCGCCATTTTGGGGTTTCGCTCGAGGTGATTATCGTGTGATAGTGTGAGTTTCTTGACCAATCAGCGAGCGACGTTTTCTATAATCACCTGCGTATTTTTACTAAAGGGGAGTAATAGTGCTTTAGTCTTTCATAGACTCATATACCTAGGGTAAGTTTTATAAAGTTATTATGACCTTGGGGTAGTTGACCTCTACTGAATAATACAAGCAAAATGCATTCACTGCTATCATTTTATACAAACAGCTAAATACTTGATAAACCAAGGATACACTGGGGTTAACAACATTGTACAGTGGTTTGCTTTTTACATCAGCGTTCATCATTGTTCTAAAAGGGTTAAATGACTATAAAAAGGCTTGCCGTACAGATATGTCATACAGTGGCGGATCCAGGATTTTTCAAAGGGGGGTTCCGTTTCTTAAACTGTATAATTCTCTTTTGTTTAGTCGATGTCTGACAAAAAAATTGGCTCTAATCACCTAATTTACTATCTAGTAATGGAACTTAAAGGTAAATTAAACATTATGACAGCAAATATTTATCATTTCGTGTTCAACATTATCCTTGTGGATACTTTTAAGCAAAATTTATATAAGACATATTTCTATTACCTAAAAGATCAAACCTTCAAGGGGGGTTCCGTGGACCCCTTCGACCCCCCCCCCCCCCCTGGATCTGTCACTGCCATACCATGATTGTTGTGGTGCTGTATATATGCAGGGATTTCAAATTCTGTAAATGGCTCTTGTCATGATGATGCAGTCGTGTTATATGTGGCTTCATAGTCATACAAAATCAAGGTGTCCTTTTATTTACTCAGGGAGGCAAACACAAGACAGGTCCCAATCTTCATGGTCTGTTTGGACGCAAAACAGGCCAATCTGAAGGCTTCTCATACACTTCCGCCAACCAGAAGAAAGGTATTACCTGGGGTGAAGATACATTAATGGTTTACCTAGAGAATCCCAAGAAATATATTCCAGGTATGTCTTAATTAAGCATGTCTCATTTTCTTCTTTTTTCGTTTTTTGATTTATTCCTATCCTGCTGGACTGTGGATGCCCTTTTTTGTGTGAAAACCTTCCTACAATTAGGTTATATAGGATTGGCATTTTTTTTCTATTTTGTATATTTATCTACAGTTTTATAGTTTATCTTTTATAGTTTTATATTGTAATGTAGTTTTATACTTAAGGCGAGGGCCACAAGTTTATAAGTGTAATCACTTTTTCATGTTACTCTCTTTAAATAAAGTCTTTAGTTACTTACTTACTTAATTACTTCTCTTCAGGGCTTTTTGATTTTTCCTTTGGCCTAAATTTGTTTCCAGTGATAGGGAAAAGTCAAATAATATTCTGTGATCAGTTTCATCAGCACCATTCAATCACGTCAGCGTGCACCATCCATGTTTGGATGCAATCAGAGTGCTTCTTTTATCGTGGCTATGTTATCATTTTTTATTTTGTCACATAAATTGAAAAACTTGCTTTGCATAATTCACCTTTTGCATAACTTAGGTAGATTAATTTTCCAATTTTCCTATCCTCTCTCATATTTTTTCACTTTGAATTTTTCCCCTACAGGAACCAAGATGGTGTTTGCTGGACTAAAGAAAAAGAGTGAACGACTAGATCTGATTGCTTATCTTAAGGAATCAACATCAAGCTGATTTGTGATCAATCTCCAGTGAAATCGCAATTTTTTTAAAACATTGGATAAGTCAAACATTAACCATTGACCTTGTAAATTACTGTGTATACTGAGGCAAGGGACTGTGTTATTCAAGTTTGTGCATTCATGAGTTCATTATATTTTATTTTACAGCTTTTTATGTGTTAGCTGCACATTCTTTGTCTCATTTTTGCTTTAACTGTGTAATATGCCGGGCTTTTACGGAGATGACAATAAATAATAAAAAAATAGTCATTGCTGTTTATTAGTGGTCTTTTCATCTGTTCAAAGTTAGATAGATTCCATTAACCCACAATCTTGTTCCTAAAGTTCTCCTGCATCTTCCTGTATTCAATGCATGGTAAAACTCTCTTACCTGGCAACAGCCTGCTGACCACTGCTCAGTGTTATATCGTGGGAGGACTGGGTCAAAACTAGTCAATCTTGAAAACAAAGCCATTTCCTAGTGGTTGTGGTTCATTCAGTAAAAGTCATTTGATATTTGTTGATAAAAATAGAATGATACCTCTAGATGCCGTGAAGGGCGATATGGCAGCATGAAGCATTGACGACTATGCTGGAAATTTTGACCCTTCACAGCTATCCAAAGACTTAAAGACTGAACAGAAAGCTCGGCCTAAGCCTATGGGAGAGGTTAGCCAGCCTCTGGCCGTGATGATTAACACCCTTGCTATGACCAACAGTTTCTGAATTTGATAAATATGCATTGTGATCTAGGTTCTGTACATGATAAACAAAAAAGGAGGAAAAGGTGAAGATTTGCACACCAAAATGAAATCAATAACATTCGTACTCTGCGAGAGGTTTGCATGTTGTGGGATTCCTGTGTTGGAAAACAGCTGCTTTGGGCTTCCTGTGCCAGACGTCGAGCATGCGTTTTCGGAATCAAAATGGCGGCTCGATGAACTTTGAAAGTTTTCTAGAAATTTGTTTTAAAAATATCGAGTAAATTACGCATTTTTAAACTCTGTTATACAAGAATCATGTCAGAGGACGACAATGATGCTCCTAAAGCAAAAAAACAACGCATTTACTTTGGAAGTTTAGAAGAAATCGAGAGAGAACGTTTGTCGAAGGCAAGCGCGCCAAAGACGGAGAGCTCTACAAGCACTTCAGCGGATGGTAAAAGAAAAGAAAATGGAATGTCTGATGCTATTCTTGCGGGTATTCAAGCCGGGAATATTAATATTAGCGAAGGTAAGTCTGCTATTTTACTTTCTTTGTTTTTTCACCCTGTAACGCTTAATCTTGGCTTAAAGCCCTTAAAGTTTTTCAAGAAAATATTCTTCAAATTGATTTTGAACATGCAACCATGGATGGGATTTGATGACAGAACACTGTCTTATATCATTAAACTTGAGATATTTTGGAAATTCTAATCTTCCTCTAACAACAACAACAACAACAACAACAAGTATCTTTATTACCAATTTACATATAAACATACATATATATATCAAATTAAGCTTTACAATAGTACTATTTAACCAAGATTCAGGTAATAGCTGCTCAGTATAGCAAGCTAATCGAGCTGAGCAACCGTTAACTGTTTTTAACACATTGATAAGGTCGCCTTAACTATAGCCATATATGGGGGATGGTGTGGATATTTTCTAGAACTACACAATATACCCTCAGTCCCTCCCCACCCCTTGGAAATTCCAATCCCCTTCCATGGGGGAGGTATGGATATTTTCTGGAATTACTCAATATATCTTCCTCAGCCCCCCACCCCTTGTAAATACCATTTTGTCCTAATGCAATGTAATTTTCTTCAGGAGAATATCAAGATCTTTCAGAGGACAATACCATTGAACGGCACAAAGAACTACTAGCTGAGTTTGAAAAAAGAAAAAAGGTAGAGGTCACGAGTATCCAGTGAGAATGTTCATGTACATGCATATATTTCATGTTATTCCTTACAGTGTCACGACTGCGTTTGTGGTGTGGGCTTTTAACAGTCATACCAAAACTGCTCTAGTGCTCTTATGATTAACACATCAGACTAGAATACTGAAGATGTGGGTTCGATTCCTGCCAAGGGCCTTGATATTTTTCTCTTGTTGTCTCTATTTCATTACACACACCAAACACATAATTTATTACTGCTCTTATGAGCCACTGGTTTGGGAAACATTGCAGTCACTCCCTTGCAGTCACTCTTTCCACTTTCACCTCCGTGACAAATGTTATATAAACTTTGTTTATTTATTTTTCATGTTAATATATATATTTTAGGCTCGTTTGATAACAGTACCTACAGATATTGCTTCCGTGAAAGCTAGGCTACGAGAAATAAGACAACCAATTAGTAAGTATACTTTCAAATTTTATTGAGTGCAATATCACTACAACACCCTTAATGTTTCACTCTGGAGTACGCCTTAAGGGTAACTATAATCCAGTGTCTTGTTCCTCACAATTTTTCCTTATTTTTTAGCTTTATTTGGAGAAGGAGCCCTAGAAAGAAGAGAAAGATTGCGTGCAATACTTTCAGAATTTGGTAAGATAAATTTTTAATAGAAAATAATAATGATAATGATAATGATAATAATAATATTTTTTTGTTGCTAGAAATTTATTGTAACTGATTGTATATACATTTTTTTCCCGAACTATTTTTAAGTCAATGGTTTTATAGGGACATCTATTTAAATATATTGTAGTTAGTTTCCTTTTAGACTGTATAGGTTGCACTGTGTGCTCTATACAGGTCATAGATTTTTTGCATCTATACCTTTTAGTACTGCACATAATAATAGTAATAATAATGATAATAATAATAATGATGATAGGTATAAGCTATGGTATTCAAAGTATGAATGTTTTTGTGATTGCTTGTTTAATTAGGTGAAGATATTATTACAACAGAAGATAAACAACAACGGGAAGAAATACCACAAGTAAGTTTGAACATCAGAGCCTGGTTGTGTTGAGATTGTCACACATTCGTTATTGTTCTGTAATGGATGGGCCATTATCATTTTGCCGTAGGAAACTGAAGAAGTTTGGTACCATGAGGGACCTGATGAATTAAGGATTGCAAGGATATGGATAGCTAATTATTCCCTACCAAGGTAAAGCATCATTGTTGTGTTACTCTATTAATCCAGCAATGTCTGTCTGTCTGTCCATCTATCTATCTACAGGTTTATCCCATCTATTCCATCCATTCATCCATCAATCTATCCATCCATCTCCCATAACTGTCTGTCTGTCTGTTGATCCATCCATCCAACCTTCCATTCATTCATATATTCATCCAAACATCTATCTGCCCTTCCATCCATCCATCTGTCTGTCTGTATGTCTATCCATCTATATCCCATCTATCCCATCAGTCCATCCATCCATCTCCTTTCTATTAAACTGTCTGTCTGTCTGTCTGTTCATCCATCTATCCAACTGTTCATTTATTCATATATTCATCCAACCATCTGTCTGCCCTTCCTTCCATCCATCCAACCACCCAATCAATCATTCATTCACAACCACTTTTTTATTTGCCATCTCAAAGAGCATGCCAGAGATTAAAACAAGCAAGAATAATGCAAGCCAGACCAGACCCAGAGAAAGCAGCAAAAACACAAGAACTACATCGAAAACTAAGGGTAATACAATGTAACCAAGAAATATCATAATATTTGTACATTACTTTTGATTACCCCTTCCCCCTGAGGGCAAAGTACTTCCATTGAGGGAGGAGGAGTACCGAATATCCTACCTAAACATACATTGCAAGGTAATTTTGGATAATATTATTTATTGTATCTTGTAATTTTTTCCAGTCTTTAAATAACTTATGCAGTCAGATTGGAGATGAGAGGCCTCTTTCATTCTGTCAGTTTTCACCAGATTCAAAGATTTTAGCCACTGCATCTTGGTAAGATTTTAACATGTGACAAAAAAGACTTCATGCATATTACAGAATAGTCCCTTTCACAGTTCCCTGTGCCATCTTGAAAGGTAGCTGTGTCTTTGCATTGAAGCGAGATGAACTGTGAGCTTGCAATGATAGAGACATGAATAATTGTCCAAAAAGGTCTCTATCATATCATTACAAGCTCCCCATTCATCTTGCTTTGATGCAAAGGCATGGCATACTTTCAAGATGGTGCAGGGAACTATGAAAGGGACTATAAGCCACCTCCACAGGTATTCTATTCTTTTACTGTTGGTGCTCGGGATCCCTGTGTTAAAATGGAAGGATGTACCACAGGTAGCCCACAAAAGAAACAAATGAAAAGCCCCAGGGCAAAGATAATGAATGTGGGGGACTAGTACAAAAAGTCTTTATTTCTGTGTTTTAACCTTCAACTTGTATAGAATTTCTTGTTACCTAACTATATGAATACTAGAAGAGATAACTAGCTAAAAACTAGTGTGAGCTGCGTCGGTGTTTCTAATGAAACAGTAATGATAAAAAGGTAAATTTAACACCATGAAAAGATGAAAAAACTTACTGACGTTTCGGACACTAGTCCTTCGTCAGAGTAAGAGGTATATGTATACTAGGGAACAATAATTTATTTTTCAATTGGTTATTCATTTACAGGAGTGGTTTGTGCAAGCTTTGGTCAGTCCCAAATTGTGAACCCATTTCAATTTTAAAAGGTATGCATAATCCGATTAAAAATAKATTTGATTGACAGGCATCAGTATAGTGGGTAGATGGCATGGGTGACATATTAGATCTTCTTGCCGATACGGTAAAAAATGGTTCATTAAGACATTATGTGATGCTGAGGCGGTAGTTATTAGAAAATACACAACCCTGCCACTCTATGCTAAATTTTCTATGTTTGCCTCCTTTGCATCCCATAATTTAAGATGGCTGCAGTGCTATTAATAAAAATGTCTATTGCCGTACTGTGGTCTTAAAGAGTCACAGGTCTCCAAGCATTAAGTATTATAATTACATTAACCATTGTTGCCGTTCACAGGTCATAATGAACGTGTTGGTGCAATAGTGTTCCATCCTCAAGCAACATTATCTCTTGACGAAACTGGTCCATGCATGGCATCCTGCTCTGCAGATGGAGCTGTTAAACTATGGTCCCTTAAATCGTAAGTCCATGATTGGTATTTCAAAATAGGGGCTTTAGATTTAGGATTGGTGTGGAATAGCTAGCTAATATATCTCATAAATTAATTGTTAACATATGTTACATTTGAATAGAGATACACCTATAGCGAATATCGAAGGTCATGAAAAAAGAGTACCACGTCTGGCATACCATCCCTCTGGACGCTTTCTTGGCACATGTTGGTAAGTTCCAACTTTAATCTTTTACAATATTGTATAATTTAGACTACGACATAGAGGGCAAGGCAAAAATTCTGTTAATTTCTGTATGTGAACACATCAAGACTTTTAGATGTGTATGAGAATGTATATACTATATTATTATATTATTATTAAAAATACTGAAATTTGATTGGTTGGTGAGAGAGGGCTTCTTTCTTACTTGGGGATGGATTGCTATCTGGCCATGTATATTATTATGAATTATGCCTTCTGTCTCACAACTGGTTTTCTACATAAATGAATAAATTTCACATTTATTTTTATAAAGTTTA